CATTTAACTTCCTGAAAAGCAGTTCAGAATTACTTGACTGGCACTTTAAGTAGCCACAAAATATCTGTAGTGTGCAGTCACCCTGAGGCAGAGAGCACAAGCTCCTCCAATGCTGGAATTGTTGTGCTAGTGCCTTTTAAATAAACTTTGAAGAAGGATAAGGGCACAGAAATGTTAGTACTTGCACAAAGAATAGTGAGAAAAATGATAATGAGGAAATCAATCAAATAATCACTATTAAAGGATAATTTCATGTGCTGCAGGCATCACTGTGGTACTCTATCAATAACTATGCTTAATAAGAAGAGATAATACTGTGGTTGTTTAGAATGCAAGTGAGAAAGCAAGAAGTCCTGACTTAGGAGCCTAGCACATTAACCACTCTGTGGATCAAAAACACGGTCTGTGTTAGAATAACTGTATTAATTTTGTATTACATAAAATTAAACAAATCAGATATGTTTTGGAGCATATGGCAATTTCTGCTAATCTGCATCTCTGTTGTGTTTGCCCCCAGACCATACTGGTTGTGAGCAGCCTCTTATAAGGTGTTTTGTTCTCTCTTTTAAATCTTTTAATCATGGGTGCTTTCAGAGATATTGCACTTAATTTAGTGGGTCAATGGCCTGATCTGGTATAGCAACCATATACTCCTCTGATACTATGAGAATGGAGATTTTTCTAATCTTATAATCATCCTCCAAATTAATTCTTCTAGGACAAATAACAGATCTTCATCAAATATCACTCTAGTGTGTATCCCTCTAATTCTATGAAAGACAGATGGACAACAAGTTTGTCTGATATAAAATATATTTTCTGTAGAACTGCCAACTTCCTTCCCTATATTTTTTGTTCTTGACAGTGTTTCATAGGTTTTTGTTGTTAACTTATGAATGTTATTGTCTTCTTTGGGAAGCTACCTAATCTGTCCCAGTATCTATCCCAGTGCTGTAGACCTGCTTCAGTTTCACAGGGATTAGAATGTTACTTTCCACAGCACACTCCGTAAACTTTTTTAACTCCACTGTTTTTCTTTTCAAGTGAGTAATCCATACCTTACCGTAGTAAACTGAACTATCTTGTGTTCTCTCATAATTAGTTTCCCTCTTGCCTATAAGGGCTGGTTCTGGAAGTCTGTGAGTCAGAAACATGAACTACTTTTTGAAAAAGGTGATTTTTTTTCTAATCTGGTATATGCAGTTATTTGAGCTTAAATAAAATGTGGTTTAGATTCAGAAAGTGGCTGCCATAGAGGTTTCTAGAAGGAATTTCCCTCTTGAAAGACACACTGAGTACTGCACATGGGCAAAGAATTCATTAGGACACAGGCTCCTTCTCACAGGTTGTGCTGCAATTAGCACTCTGAGTTCTGAGAAACACGCTTAACTATTATGATAATTTCTAGTTACTGGTCACTGTCTCTTCTTGACCAAAGCTAGCATTGACTTGGTATGACCAAAGACAGTGTTGACCTGGTAGGATGCCTCCTGTGAGTATAGAAAATTACTGTATGAGTCTCTTGCCCCTTATTCTAGGTTTCTCAATCATATCCCTCAATGACAAAGCCACAGATACCTGGCTGTGTCTCAAAGGCATTAAATTCCATGTAACCAGCCCCACAACAAAGCCTCAAATACTTGGCTCTGATGGATGGTGTTATAATGAGGGTGGAGCTCAGTTCAATGGCCAATTTATTGCATCTTAATGTTCTAACATGCTTTCATTTCATATCTAGGACAATAAATGCTGCAGTAAAGTTTGGTTTAAAGCAGGTCTGTTTTGCAAAATGAGTCTTGCATATGGAACAAAACACTCTTTGTTGCTTTACTGTTGAAACCTTTATTATTGCTTTTTTTCCCTGGTACAATGGGCTTTTATGCACCAAACAGCTGTGTTCATCATGTTTATTTAGAAGGCATCTATTGTAGTGGAAAAAGTCTGGAGGACAAAAATCTTGGTGAAGTACAAGACTACTCTGTGGGTGCTGGCACTTTTATTTTTTTCTGTCCTGTTCCTTTGGTCAGTATGCAAGTCACATACGCAGGCACTGCCATGCAGACTTTCAAACCTGGTATAATAGCAACTTTTCACAAGCGCTGTGTCTTATTGCAAGTGTTGTCCTCCAGAAATTTTCAATCGCAATGCAACATACAGAAGGCACGACTATTTTACACCCTATGATCCTATCATTTCTCAATCTGTTGCTATTTTGGCCCCTCATTAGGTCACTTTCCAAATATTGTGTACAGCTATGTGTCAATCATTGTCACAGCTCGGCTCCAGCCTAAGCCAACCCAGGACAAAACTGTGAGGAAAAAAAAAAAAAGCCAACCAAAGCAAGCACTGTGTAGAAAACAGTCAACAGTTTAACTGTGGAAAGCTATGTGTTGTTCCAAAGATAGCATAAGCCCACTTGATGCAAAAGCAGCATACAGTACTAATGCGCTCCAAAATAATTTTACGCAGTTGAAATATGTAGTGTATACCCAATGGCATCTGCAAATAAACAGATGTTAGAATCTCAAGAATTAAGAGCATGACATTGTCGGAAACTCTTGGGTGACTCCTGCCAAAAAGAAGTCTAGTTTCCAGTTTCTGGAAAGAACAGAGTACCTAATATATTGACAGAACTTTTTCTGAACAACAGAATCTCTAGCACCTTCTAAACCCTTGAATGAAAGCTGCTGTATAAGCAGGCAGTGTTAGCCTGGGGAACTAATGGGTTCCTTACTTCCTTCAGGCTATATCCAGAAGGGTAAAAGCACCCATGTCCTCTTCCCTCTTTTCAGGTTACCATGTAGTTACACATAGTTCAGGCAAATACTGGAAACACAGAAGTGTCTCTATCAGCCACATAGTCAATGCTATTGTCACAGGCTGGAAAGTGAACTGGAACAAACTAACGTGCTTGATCTTTTAAAAATATTAAAATATCTGTACAGAATGAAATGGCTTATTTCCTGAATGGTGAATGCTCTTGGCTTTCCACAGAGCCAGCATTCTCAGTTGTTGTTGTTGTTCATGTGCCTCAGGAAACTGTAACGAGGTTAAAAAAAGCAGAATAAAGTTGCATCCATACAGCGTATGGATGATAGGAATCCATTCAGAAATGCAGCAAAGGTGACTTCTGGGATCCGAAAGGAGTGCAGCCGGGGAGAGGCTGCAAAGGGGCTGACTGCATGGAGCGGAGGCAGGGGTCTGGGGAAGGCCTGGTATACCAGGGAAATGATTTTCCAGAATAAAGGAGAAAAGTTTTGGGGAAAAAAGTGGAAAGAAATGTGAGCTAAGTGGAAAGGGACTGTGACAGAAGGATTAGCCCCTGCTTGCACACAGTATAGTAGAAGCAGAAAATGAACTCTGAGAACTGTGGGGAAAAGAAAACTGTTTCTCAGAGACTGTTTCAAAGGCTTCCTGAATGCAGCCTCCATTTACTTGTTTCTTCCTTTTTCTCCCAGGAAGAAAAAGGACCTGCTGTGAGCAGAATGTATCCCGACTTGAACAAACACAGGCCTGAACGAGTCCCACTCTGGAGTCCATGTAAGGCCAAACTCCTGGAGTCTTGTTGCTACCTGGCACCACAAAGCTCATAAGCCAAGCAGAAAGGGGCAAAATCTACTATTTGTTGCCAACAGGTAGGTAGCTAATAGTTTAAATTGCACCCCTGCTAGTCTTTTTCCAAAATCAATGTGCTTGCTAAGTCTGTGTGTTTTTAAACTGCCTATGCCGTGTCAACCTTCATAAGATGAGGTACGTCAGTTTCAGTGGGTTGCAAACTATACACTCTCAAAAACAGTGCCTATTTTGAGACTGGATGTGCTCTGTGAAACTCTTAAAGAAGAAAGAGTTTCTAATTAAGGGGAAAAGAATGTGTGTGTATAACTCTGGTTCTTAACTGTTAGCAGCTATAAATTTGAGACCAATTGGGGAATTTAATTTGGTTTTAATTAATAACCCCATCCCTTTGCTGACAGAACAGGAATGTGTATTTTGACTGAGAATACATTTCAAATCGATATTTAACACAAATGGCACTGGAAGGACTCTGAAATGTCATTCTGTGGGAAGTGCCAGAGCAGGCAGGGATGCATAGTCCATCTAACCCTGGCCAAACAGAGCCACTGTTGAATGCCTCCGGCAAGAGTCCCACAGTAGGGTGCAAAACTGTAGCTGGATCTTTTCTGGAGAGGCTGTGAGCTGTGGTGTGTGAGGTGCCACCTTGCAGTATCTCCGCACATGTGAAATCCCTCCAATGCAGAAGTGCTTGACCTCAACAACTTCCTGTGACAGGGAGTTCCACAGCGAATTGTCTTCGCATACCCTAGTTTTTTAGCTTCCTTCCCTCTGGTTTCATTTAGTCTTGTTCTTGCGTTACGAAATGCGCACAAAACTTTTTTCACTGCTTTTGTCACGTTCCTGTTTATATCTCTTCCTTTCAAACAGTGCCGGCCTCATCTCTCTTATAAGCGACACGTATTCTTGTACCAAGCTTTTTAAACATCACTTTGAAAGAAAAGAAAAAAAAAAAAAGGAGGCGGGAGGGGGTGGCAGTGGTGGTATTTTTGCACATTATGACGGATGTAGCACTTACTGCGTGTCCTGCCCCCCGTCCCGCTGGCCGCGTCCCGGCCGCGCACGGGAAATCGGTGTAACCATTGACCAGACTGTCAACACGGGCGCCCCGCGCCGCCGGCGGGCGGCGGGAGGAGGCGGCGGCTGCGCCAATGCCGCGGCCGCGGCGGCGCCTCGCCCCGGCCCGTTAGCGGGACGGGCAGCGAGGGAGCGCCCGGCGGGAAGGGGCCGGGAAGGAGGAGCAGGAGAAGGAGCCAGCGCGGCCGGCCGGGCCGCCCCGGCCGAGCGGGGCGCGTAGCGGGGCTGCCCCGTGCCGCGGGCGGGCTCGGTGCCGGCTCGGGGAAGGGGGCAGGAGGCTGCCGAGGCATCATGGCGGTTGTGTCCCGGGGGGGCCGGGGGCTGCGCGCCGGGCGGCGGGGCGGACTCACCTCGCTCCGCTGGAGCTGGAAGAAGCTGTTGAGATAGCTGGAGCTGAGCGAGGAGCCCAGCTCCGGGGTGCTCTTGGTGTAGCCGAGGTCGGGGTGCTGGGAGGAGGAGGGCTCGGGTCTGAAGGCATCGAAGGCGCTGGCCTGGTGCGTATCTTGTAGCGAGAGATAGACCCAGTTGAGAAGCTGGGCGGGCTGGTACACGGACGCGGCGCTGGTGTCGATGGTTGACAACAAGCTCATCTTTCCCCCCGGCTCTGCCGGCGCGGCTGGCCCCGCGGTGCCGCTCTCCCTCCCCCCGCTCCGGCAGCGCCGCTCTCCCGTCCCTGCCCGGGGCGCTTCCTCTCGGCCGCCCGAGGAGAGGACAGGACGGGCCGGGCCGGGGGCTCGCAGCCGCGCCCCGCGCCGCTCTCGCTCCCCTAAGGCCGGCGGCGCCCGCCCAGCCCCAGCGCTCCGCGCAGCACGGGCATCGCTGCCGCCGCCCGCGGGCTCCGCACGAAACTTTCTGCGCGCTCCCTCCCTCCCGCCCAGCCGCTGCCTGCCCCGCTATCTGTCTTTATTCCCACTCCCGCAGGCAGCGGCGGGGAGGGGCTGCGGGCGCTCCGGCGGCGGCGCCTCGCCCCCATAGGCCTCCCGGCCGCCGCGGGGGTGCAGGGGCGTCCCGGCGCCGCTCCGCCCCCGCCCTGCCCCTGCGAGCGGGCAGGGGGGGCGAGCGGGCGGGGGAGGTCCCGGGCCGCTGGCCGGGGACACCCCCGGCCCCTCGCCGCTCGCCCCCCTGGGTCGCGCCGGCTCCCTCCCTCGCTCCCCGGCTTTCCTTTTCCTCCTTCCTGGAGATTTTTGTGCCAAACACGCGCAGAGCCCTCCCGAGGGCTCCTCGCCGGGCCCTTTCGGGCTTGTTTTTAAGTCGACGAGTTTCGCTCAACTCTAGTCAGCGCGCCCTCCCTTTTCACTCTCGTTTCTGTTTCTTGCCGGTGCTCAGAGCTCATCGCAATCTGAGGTTCCCTCTCGTTAAATCTCTGTCAGAGCTCCAGTTTACGAAGCCCTGCGCGGCCGCTGAGGTTGTGCCAAGCCGGTGCAGAGTGAGGGTTTCCCAAATAAGGCAGGCAAGCGGCGCGATGTTCCCTTTGAAATCCATCTAGGTAACCCTGGCACAGGCTCTTAGGGAGTCTGGCTGTGGTGGGATACCCGGGAGTTTAAGCTGAGTAGGCCTTTTAAGGAGTCGGTAGCACAAAAGAGGATGATGAATGATTCTTCTTTTAGGAAGGAACCTGAGTGGGTAAGCTGGTAATTACAGTTCATAAACTCTTCCCTGCTGCCTTCCCTGCTGCCTTCCCTGCGATGTGTGGAACAGGACAGTTATTTCTTGCTTTGGTATAAACACCGTAGCAATTAAACTAGGAGTTTTCAAAGGAACTCCCAGGAAGTAACTTAAAACTTGAGCATAACTCCTTGTGCTCTTTCCTGAGCGACAGAAGGCTGAAAATTAGTGTGCCTTTCCAGTACGGTATTGGGGGGAAAAATGCCTTCTTTACTTACATAACAGAAAAAAAATCTGACCTTTGAAACATCAAAGTTGGCAACTCGGTTTTCTGTAATGAGCTGTACATCTCTGGTGAGATAGAAGAAAAATCACTGTCCTGCAAAGGCATGGTTACAAGCAGCTGAAAATGCAGGTCAGCATACACACAGTAGAAAATGCTATTAAATTGTCAGCTGCAAACACCTAAGATGGATGTATTTAACTTTTGACAGCAGATAGTTAAGGCAGCAAAGCCATCTGCTTGCAAGTATTTAAGAGCAGGTGAAGATTCTAACTTTCCAGAAGTACAAGATGAGGTGCAGTTTGGAACAGCTCAATCAAACTTAATTCCTTTAGTGGGGCTAATATATTATTTGGGGGTTTTTAGTGATCAAGTCCTTGCAGCATGAATGCAGTTTGCTCACGAGTTCTCTTGGTTTAGAAGCCCTTTGGAGCACATCTAAATGTGTGGGCATCAGCACAAGAAGGAACAAGCTACACCAGTGTAAAGGGTCTTTGTAGCTCAGCAACTGTCCAAAGCATAGACCATAAAAGAAGAGTTCAATCACATTCCATCCCAAACTCAGACAGTTGAATAGAGTTTTAAAGAAGCAAAAAGGTCCATGAGACTTAGTGAGTTAATAAATTGTGGGGGAGGATTTTTCATGATTTGCTGGTAAATGAAAAAAACAAGAAATAGATATCATATCTGAGGAACTTGCCTTTCTGGCAGATGGTAGTAGAAAAGTCAGGATATGGTAGAAAGTCTAGAAGGGGGAACTAGGCCACTTGTTTTGTTGTTGTGGAGGTTTTTTTGTAAGCATGCTAATTCCTTCCTTAAAGACAATTTCTATTCTTATCACTTCCCTCTTTTACTTGATATATTAAACTGAAATGTGTGTATTCTTATTTGACAGCTCCACTGTTCACTGTCTAGTAAGATGCTGTGAAGCAAATGGGAGTTCTGAACAAGCAGAAAAGATAACAACAGGGTTCTTGTACTAATAGAGGTCAAAATAAAGAGTGTTTTGGATGAAGAGTGTTTGGTGTATTTTGATACTTTTTTTTCCCCAACTGAATATAGCTCTCATAGTAGATGGTTGTTTTGATTGCTTTAGTTAGACAATACTGTAAAGACTGCAGCAGAGCAAGCAAAGGCAGAGTTAGGGTGTTTTTATGGCAGCAGCCCTTTATGATGTGAGGGACACCATGCTCTCCACCAGATGCATTTGAATATTTAAAGTTTTTTACTTTGATTGCCCCTTGACAGTAGCCCTGGTGGCTTCTAGTAACCATGCAGAAGAATGAGTAAATTGAATATGATTGGCATATCAAGAAAGAGAAAAGTTGCACGTGCCTTCACTAGGAAGAGCTTAAATAAAAAGCACCCACACTTTGAGGTTCAGTTGTCATCCTGGTCTCCTGCTGCAGTTTCTTCTGGAAAACAGTTTCCAGGCAGTTCCCCTCCATTTGGATGGATTTAATACTTCTCATAGCAGAGCAAGATGCTCCTGCCACACTTGCCACAGTCCACTTGAGTTCAAGATAGCAATTTTTTCATTGGAAGTCCCCTCTTCACCCTTAGGAGTCATAGATTAGTGAGGAGAAGATGGATACAAATTGTCCATTTAGCAGAAACATGACAGTAGAGAAAAAGTTGTCAAGGTCAATTGCATCTATTCTTCTGAAAAATACTTGAGACAAAACTGCCCAACCAGGCAGTCTGATGGCTGGGAAGAATCTTCAAGATGTGCACAGTATTTTGCTATTGATTATGCTGGGATGGAGTATGAGTGACATCAACTATATGGATTTTACATCAGCCTTATGGTGCTGAAACATTTATGTATCCACTTGGTTTTATTTATGAGTGGTGCTAATGAAGTAAAAAAAACAACTGGAACTGTAACATGGAACTTTTAATAATTTGAACGGCTTAAGTGACTTGGAAAACAGGAGCCTTGAAACAGGTCAAAGGCAAACACAGAGACAGGATTCATCTTCTTCAGTCCTATTCCTTAAGTAGTGGATAATCATGTAATTTATCCAAAATCTCCTTATAATTGCTCACTCAGCCTGTTCCTTTAGTGATCTGGACCTCTTGTGCCTGCTGTCTTTCCATGGTATCTTTGCAAGAGTGAGGAACATAATTTTCCCCTTCTGGTCAGGGCTTCTTTCATAATCTAATGTAGTTATGGTCTTGCTTTCAGTGTTCATAACTTTAGATGATGTCAGCTTTTAAACTACATATGTAATTACTTATTTTTTTTTAAAGAAAATGTTTATGGTTCTCCATACTTTAAAAATGAATGTGCCCTAATACCAAGTATCCTGGATTCTCATGCTTTTAAAGGTGTCTGAATTGCTGTCTTCTTAGTAGTCTTCTAGCTTAGATGGGGCTCCAGAAGGAAAATGTAACGAATACCCAAAACTGCCAATAAGACTAGAGAAAACAGGTAACTTGAACCCACCACTGTATTCCCTGAGTTCTGTAATCAGGATGTACATAATGCAATGGGCCATTCATCTGCAGTTTAGCTGGAATATTCCAAGCAAATGTTTTTCATCTGCTGCAGCAGAGATTCTTATCTTATTATGAAATAATTTTGCTATGTGGTGGAAACAGTGCGTAAGCACTCTCTGAATTATGAGAAACCCATTTCAGCAGAGTTGTAAACTGTGAAAGTACATCTGCATGCGGTATTTGTGAGTTATAGATGTTACAACCTCTTGTGCTCACTATGTAGGTGCAACAGTTCTACTGCCAGCAATAAAACGCAGCATAAACCAAGGTTTGTGGAAGTGAGTCTAGGAAATGCATGTGCTTGGGTATGTTACACCATGTATTTTTGCACCTATCCAAAGGATCAGCTGCAACCCAGTGCTCATGCAGAAAAATAAAAATTCCTGTTTTCTTCCTCTAAGCTACTCTTACTCCTACAGCTTTGACATAGAAAATTCTGGAAATGGATGGATATGAACATATAGCTCATCCATATGTAGAATGTTAGTAAATATATACCATATGCAGTAACGATTTGCTGTGGATAGTGTGTGAAGCACAATTCCTGCAAGACTGTCTCAAACCACCAAGTGGGTAATTGGTGTAACAGATCCTCTTGGAGCATGCAGATTTTGCACCTGGCCAGTTTGTGGTTTCAAGTCTTGGGGCCTCCTCACTTGCTCTACATGAAGATGTCAGTGCCTTGCTGAGTAATTGCATGAAATATGCCCTGGAACCAAGTAGCTGTGTGAGAAACACTGGTTCGATTTTTGCATTGTTTTGCAAAGCTTCCTGTAGACTCTTCAGCTGCCACATAGACATCTGAAATGTTCTTTCAGTTTTAAAAGGCAGTAGCTCCTTGTTTCTAGTACTGATCTAAAAGTTCAGCATCTCTCTCTAAAAATAGTAGCAGAAGTATCTTAGCCCTTTTACCTAGCCCATCCTAACCCCTTTCTCTTGCTTGACCCAGGAATCCAAGAGAGGGGGTCCAAGAAAAAGGGCAGAGGAGTAGAACAGTAGCAGTTAGGGAGAAGAGGCTGCAGGGGAGGCCATGCCTTACCTGGAAGTGTCTGCGTTGGAACTGCTGCTGATGGTGGCTTCTCCAGCCAGAGAAATGGCAGGTGAGTGGAGAGGCCCAGGGATTTTCTGTCACCTGGGAATCCCTCTAAGCTGCCTTACACTACAGGAGATGCTTTACTGAGGGTGTTTCTGAAATGGCCTCAGTGCTTTGTAACTGGCTACTAGCTGAAGAATTGTTAGGTGTTATTTCTGGAGCCCCTTAAAGACCTTGGTGTTAAAAATACTCAAACAACTGCCCAAGGAGGGAAAGCATGACCCTTTTATTTGACCTTTTTGGGAATGCATGGAAGGTTTCATTTGTAT